CCAACAGTGTGAATTCCTCAGGGAGGTGCCAGTCTCATCCCCTTGTTCCTCCCACGCTCTTCTGGGGAGCTAAGAAAATGTTTATCTCCCTGAGCCTGGCCTTCATAATTCCATTCCATCACACTTGGTTTACAAAACTAGAGAACTACTAGTAGGTTTTCCTGGGGACTTCATGGTGGGCAGATGAAAACTGGATGGAGAAGTTGATCGTAGAAGAGTAAGTTTCTGACACAAGCTGTCATATGAATGAGCTTTCCTTTGATTCTTCCTTTTGAGTGAGCTGAAAATAAATCAGGCAGTTCTTCATTAATTATAGTTTCCTATTTTGTCTGCAGACCTATGGCTATTAGTTTCAGAACAAAAGAGGGTATTCATTAAAGTTAATATCTTGATTAGTTCTGAAGCTGGCAAAATATACCTTTCCAGCAGGTTGTTCCCCATATCTCTCCTGAGATGGAGGAGAACTCACTTATTACATAGACTATAGCTACTACTGGTGATAGAAAAGAGAGCTCCCACAAATTCAGCAGAGGAACCTTTTAAGTGTAGAGCTTACATATTTTTTCCAACAATCTTTGGGTATGTTTCTATGGATCCAACCTTATGTTGACCATAAAGGAGCTCCTTCCTTCATTTTCTTCAGCAACCATTCTTCCCCTTTCTTGCCAAGACCTTTACAAACCAACAGAGACCTCCTTCAGGATCTAGCTAACCCATGGATGTTACATTCCTTTGGGGGGGGGAGGGAATGAGGACTTTTGTTATTTTTACTCTTTGTTCTTTATGCTGTAGTCCTAAATGTAAATTCTTCATTTTAGTTTCCTGCTTCCCAGCTCAGTTGACAGGTGAACCATGGCTGTATGGTGCTGCAATGGTATCCATAAGTAAGACCAAATATGACCTCCTCTCTTGCATAGGGAAGCTTAGCAGGGCATTTCAGAACTTTCCTCTAAGAGGACTTCTTAATGTCCTCTCTCTCTTTTTTTTATCCTTCAGTACCATGTCAGCTGGAAGAGTGCGAACGAAGAAAAAAGTACCAGTTTTAGACCAAGCATCTGATAATCTTCCTTTGAGAAGTTCAGGGAGACAGGTACTGTATGCCTTTCTAAATATATTAATGAAATGGAAATGGTAATCACTTACGCCTTCTTTACATTGAGAATGCATTTGCATTTCTGATGCATCTTATTCCCGCTGTATTTGTCTCTGTTCCTGTTGCCTGGCTCTGCCTCTGTCCAGATGTTGGAAGAGTGAAGGCTTGTAGTAGACTGCTTGCTTTACTCGGGTGAAATCCCTGGGTAATTCAGAACAGTGAATTCACAAGGTTGTACATTGCATGGATAGCAACGTGCATACACAGTAATCCTCTGCTGCAGACCATTATCTCCCAGGCAAATGGAGAGCAGAAGGCCAGGCAATGATAATGGATGGAGGGGGCAAGGGCAATTATTATGTCCCCTCTCTTGCACTGGAAATTGTTGACTTGGAGGCTTGAATGTTTGAACACAGCTTTAAGTATGTGAGACCCCTAGTAAGGCATTTCTTCAAAATGTGTCCGTGCATTAGGACCTGAGCATTTGAATCTCAGTGTCCCTATTGTGTGGCTGCTTTTTTAAAATTTACCTTCTTTTCAACTTGAATATTGAAGTAGTTTACAACATAAAAAGATTCCTATCCCCCTCCCCCATCACCCTTTAAATAAATAACATTATAGATGCAGAGTCCTGACATTTTTAGAAATAAATCAAGTTTCCCTCTCACTGGAAACAAAGAAGCAAGGGAATTATTTCATAGTACTGGAAGTTGGTACAATTTGTGTTGACTTACTGTAATCCTCATAACTCTATTCAACCAGGCATTATATGTATATAAATATATTCTATTTAAAATGAGAGAATTAGAATCCCCTAAGTAGTGTCCAAATGATTTTACATTAGCAAGTTATGTTACATGTAGGTGGCAGGCATCAGTCTCAGTAGACAGTGAGCTTCTCTTAAGTTCTCCAGAACTGGTCTTCAGTTTCAGTGATCTACCTGGAATGCTGCTTTTTGAGGCTAGCTCCTCTTGCATCTAAGAACTAGTTATGACCTTTGGATCATTGGGCTACTGTTAATTATCTGCTTTACCCCAAGTAAGGCATGTACACAACATTACAAAGTCCTGTTAGGTTTTTAAAATTATTTCTTCTGTGCCCAGCTACTCATGCAGCATTTCCATATGAATACAGAGGGTTGCAACTACAGATGCAGTAGAAATTAAGGCTGTTATCAGTAAACAGCGGTAAACAGGGCAACTGCACAGGCTTCTTTAGTCACAAAGTTCTCTGTGTCCTCTTAGGTGAGGAGAAAGGCAGCAGAGGCAGTTGAGGATGATGAAGAAACATCAGAGAAGAAATATCGGAAGTGCGAAAAAGCAGGCTGTACTGCATCTTGCCCAGTGTGCTTTGCTAGCGCTGCCGAAAGGTTTGGGTCCTTCTCTCTCTTCTTCCGCTCCAACCCCCTCCCTCCCAATCTTCCCTGGTCCTCATATCTTCAGCAAGTGATCTTCAGCATGGTAAAGTTTAGTTTGACTGGTTTGTTTGTTCTCAGTTGAGTAAAGCCAATGTAAGATTGACCTCTCTTGATTCTCTTGGACTTTAGGTTGGACTAGTTTTGAAAATCCTCAACACTGGGGTTTGCAACAGTTTTAGTTTGGTTGCTACCAGCCTATAAATCCCAGTGTTGAAATCCTCTGATATTTTGGCAAGCTGTCCAAGAAACTTTTGTTCTTAAGATTTTAATGTTCTTATTCAGGATTTGTTCTTTGTTTTTAAAGGTTTTAACAACTGTAAAATGCCCAGAGTTGCTGAGAGTCTGGCAGTGTATACATTTAAATAATAACAACAGCAACAACAACAACAATAATAATAATAATAATTCCTCATTCTTCTAATTCAGGAATTTTAATTTTATTTTTCTATTCATTTTATTATTTTATGCCAAGAAAAGAACAAAGAGAAAAGAAAGGGGAAAACCCCACAAAGCTTACCTGTCTCATGTACTAAACAAAGCTAGTCTCTAAAGTGTAGGTTTGCATATTGCTATTGCCCAGAAATCATTTCACTAAAATTAATCTTATTTATATATTCATGTCATGTTATATAATTAAATTATTAACATTTACTTCATTTCGTTTCACTATGGGGGAAAAGGGGGAAATCAAGCAAATAACTTATGCAGTCCAAACTTCAAAGCAATCTTCAATTTGTCATCAATTACACAATGATTTGAAGAACTCAGCTGTTTCTATATCCGACAATAAAATGTTTGCTCAGATATAGAAACAGTTGAGTTCTTCAACTCATTGTGTAATTGATGACAAAAGGGTATACTTCCAGTGTTATAGTATTCATTTCCATCATCACTGTGTTAATTTCAAAGCATTGGTTCAAGAGCTAGTACGGTGTAGTGATTAAGGTGTTGTAGCAGAATTCCTGAGAACCAGGTTCAAATCCACCCTTAGCTATTGAAATTTGCTGAATGTAAAGGCTGAAGCTGATCAGTGATCCTTAGCCAGACAGAACCATTACTTAAACATGGAACAGATGTCTTCTCCTCTCAATGCTGGCAAAAAAACAACCAAAAATCTGTTGGCTCAAAAGAGTAGGAGGAGGAGGACTAGGACTATTGGAACACCAGTAGATGTTCTAAAGTGTTTGTGTGGCCTCAGCATTCCTTCTGAATTTCTCATTACAGACTGCATTTTTCAAAATGCACATAGGTGCTCTTTTGTCAGGCTCGGGCAACAAGCCGGTCGGTCAATTCCTGTCGCAACCAACAGATCAATATTTGGTTGATTCCCCCACCCACCCAAAAAGCAGACCCTGCACATGTGGGAAAAACGCTAGGATGAAAATATATAACAGGTGCTCTTTTCAGATAAAATGATCTGATTGCTATGCAAACTCTGCAAAAATATTTACAAGTTACATAAACTCTTCCTTACAGAGAGGAAGACAATCCATAGATTAGGCAAAAAGCTTTATATCGGTTTCTCCTAAAAAAAAATCAGCTAGAGGAGAAAGAAGATAGAATGTTGTACTCTTACAAACAGAATTTGGTTACAGGAAATCCCCGATACATATTTGTTATACAGCTCCTGTTCTTGCCTTTTATTTCAGGTATGAATAAGTAGAAATGCTTCACAGATGTTTAATATAAAAGCCAGTCTGAAGCATTTTGAAACTGCAAAGCATATCATTTTGGTAAACAGAGTTTTTAAATGTTTTCTGTTTTAGGTGTGCTAAAAATGGCTATACTTCAAGATGGTATCATCTGTCCTGTGGGGAACATTTCTGTAATGAATGTTTTGATCATTACTACAGAAGGTAATCTTATTTAAGAGTTTATACTCTGAAATGACTTCATTCAGTAGCAAAAATCCTGTAATCATTAGCAGTTTAAACAGGAAAATTGATAAGACTTATAGCATAATTTTATTGGAAGTGAACCACACGGAGTTCAGTGGAATCTATTCCCAGGTGAGCAAATTTTAGGATTGTTTATTATCCATAGTTCTGTGCTTTGCCCATTTTGATTTGATTTTTAATAAAGAGATGAAATAGAAGTACTACATTTGCAGTACTGTACAACTCTTAGCTATATCAATCAAAACATGTTAATTATGATTGTGAACTAGGCCTTTTGCTTCTTTCTAAAAGAGTGGTTAGCAATATCTTCAGGCCCAGATTCCCCGCCCCCCCAGCTAGATAAAAAAGAAAATGCCTAAAATCTCAAGAGAGCCACAAATACTTTGAGAACATGTCAATCTCCACCTAAGAGTTTATGAGATTTAATGCAAGAGTGTTAGTAACTCTTATCATGGGAATATTGAATCCTCAGAGATCAGGCAATCTACCAATTACCATAAATTTTGGCTGTTTTGCAGGCACTGTTTCAGGGTACACCGGACAACTTGAGCACCTTGTATTAGAAGACGCAATACTAAGATATTGATAGATATTCTCTTTCAGAATTATGTCAAAACTTTATGTCCAAAGCAGTCATAGCAAAAGGGAAAACATGTTTTAGGATTTGTTCCTTTTTGCCTCTCTTTTGTTAAGTATGTATTGGACGCATATGGGAAGGTGGAACAGCTCCATAATCACAGGGTGACTTTAATAGAGCTTAATTTTATTTGCAACCATTGCCCTACATAACACATACTTTCAATTAGAATTTGTAAGGCACCATAAAGTATTCAAATGCAGTGGTACCTCGGGATACGAACGCCTCTGCTTACGAATTTTTCGAGATACGACCAGCTCCAGCCCCAAAAATTTACCTTGCGTTGCGGACTCCGCCTCGAGTTATGAACCTGATCTGCGGCCATTTTCCCTGCTGCCACGCGGTCGTGGCTTCCTGTGGGTGAGATCGCGGTAGCAAG